TTTTCACTTTTTTGAAACTAAGTTATCCTTTTTTAAAACATAACCATATCTTTGTATCAGTCTATCGTTGGGTACCCATAATAAGAGGGGCGTCAACACGCCCATCATCGAGTTAATTAATGGATTGCGCGTCAAGCAATCATTGAAACTTTCTACTCAGAGTAATCCACTTGCCAGCCAGACAGACTAATTGCTATATAATACTTGGGACACATAAGGCTGAAAGGCCATTTTTGTCAAGTCATTATTATTTATTTTAATTTGCAGAGAGTACTTATTAATAATTACCCAATCGCTTGGCTACTTTGCTGGCAGCTTCTATAAGTTATGTTCCCCTGGATTCTTAAAACAAAAACTATATTCATCAGCCTTTTAGTCATAGCTACAGATAAAATTTTAATAAAATATATCAAGTTAGAATGCTCCAGTCGACATAGTCTCACCAGTGGACCTGGAACTCAGCTGTTATATATATTGATGAAATAAACCCGATATGACTATGGAATACGAGAATTTATTGTCCAGAACTGATCTAGGTTTTATAGTTTAATTATGCCCTGTTTCCATTTTAATGATTTTTTTATTGCTCAGAGAATAAAAACAAATAAATGAAATATAATTGACTTAATTTGTATGTTGCTTGTTTTACATTTAGCGCTTTTTATGAGTTTGGTTTGTCGTTCCATATGCTAAAATCAGTGTTATAAAAAATACACAAAATGAAAACTCATATATTATTGGATTATGCACAATTTAAAACTGCATTGGTTGTCATCCAATTTTTTGTATAATTTGTTATTTATTATAAATTGAATTTTGTGTGCTAGCCATTAAGTGAAACATTTATTAAAATTAAATTTTAGTAATTTTCTCCTGAAATTCATTTACACCATAAAGTGTTTCATAAATAAAATATATAATTCACATTAAATAAACCAATTGCTTAAATGTAATTACCTATATTTTTTTGATTTATGTATATAATTGGTTATTACAAAGCACGTCGTAGATACACATAAAAGAGTTCAATTTTGGTAATTATTCCACCGCGGGGAAACATAATATTGAATCATCAAATTGTACAAATATTGCGCAAATAACTATTAAATGTTTGGCACAAAAAGAGGCAGCAATTAATTAACTCAGTGCAGACCAACCTAGAGAATGAAGTGGCAAGAGTGCAAAGGGACATATGAGAGGGGACGGGGGTGTGGGGGGCGTTGGGGTCGGTGGTTCATGTCTCTGTTTTAAATCCCAAAAGTGCACAAAAATGCATGGCAAACGAGGAGAGAAAACCTGGTCTAAAATATGCGTGAAATGCAAACAAGCTGATGGCGCTAGTTGAGGGTTGTGTGTGTGTGTGTGTGTGTGTGCTGTGGCATAAACCCATTTACAGGTGTTTGCCCACAGTCAACAGGATTCAGTGTCGTCGTCGATGCAAACGCAGCCAGTCGTAAAACATTTGTCACATTTACATTAAGAGCAACGCAGTGGCTAAAGCCGCTTTTGTGGTTCCTCTACGGTTATATACTATACACCACCCTCACCTAGACACTACACCACAACAGCTTCTGCAGGCCCATTGCACCCCCTTGCTATGCAATTTATGTGCACAGTGCACTTGCCAATTAATTCTTATCTCAGCAGCCAAGCAGGTTTCGCTTTCTCGCCGACTGCATAAATCAATGTGCCCAAGGTGATAATTCAACCACAACTGAGTCAACTGACTCAACTGAGGCACTGCTCCATTTATTCCCTTTGCACACACACACACCTACACCTACACACACACACCAGCGCACACACACCAAACCCACACACACGCACACACCCAAAGCGAAAGCAGCAATAGCCTCAATGTTCTAGAATCTAGATTGTCAAGTCATGCGGCCACAACTGCAGCTCACTCAATTTCATGGTGTCAAATGTGCAATACACGGCTACACAGAGAGAAACCAGTGGGAGTGCTCTAGGCTAAGGAAATCTATTAATTAACTATTACATATCCTGAACACAGCTGGTAAAGAAACTAAATATGCTTTTGGACTGGAGCTAATCCGCTAACATTTAAATGTTTGTTCGTAGTTTGATTTGGTTGAATTTAAATATTTTTGTTAACTTTATTAAGAAAGATTTGAGTACTCCACATATGAGTAGTTATATTGAATCAGAACGGCAGTGATTTATCTATATATCTACACAGTTCTTATGAAAACTACATGTTATAGTAGTCCGATAAATAACCTGGTGGGCTTAAACTGAATATTTTATTAAAAAATAAATAATGACCATGGTTATATCGACTTGGCTTGTGAAGCTGAGGAAGAATGTAAGTATATACTTTATGGGGTCAGTGATGCTTTCTTGTGCTAAGTTGTATAGCCTAGATCGCTAACTTTAGGGTACAAAACCTAATTACATATTTCAGAACCAACTTTGAATTTTCTACTAACAGTGCAACTAAAATAAGAATATAAGATATAGCAGCTAATTTTAAGGTAAAATTTTAAGTATTTAAGAACTATATCTATATATATATATATCTTTATCTGCATCTATGTCAATATCTAAATCTATATCAATGTTTTTCACTCAGTGTACTCGACTAAATTTCAACTCTTGTTTCCAAATCACCGCATATGGCACTAATTTAAGTCCACATTTTTCTCTGTGTGTACTTAACTCGAGCCCCACATTAAAGTAGATTTTCAGGCAGGAACATATCCTTGTGCTGTAGGACATCTTTTTCTGGCATGGTCACACTGGTCACCCAGCGGCATCTAATTGAATTGCATTTGCAATAATTACTAGCACGGCGGCAAATTCAACGGGTGGGGGTGGGGGGTGCAGTGTGGAGATGCAGAGTGGAGGATGTTAACCTAATTGGAAATTGTTGTTCGTAGAAAGCGCCAAAAGCAATCAGATGGCTGGGCTTGCTTGATATTTATAAATGAAACTACGTCACGCCAGATAGCAATCTGTTGTTGGTTATTCAGTTGCCTTTGTTTTCTATTTAAAATTAACATTAAGATCTAACAAACTCAATTTTGCTTTCTCATGTTTATGTTTACTGAAGTTGGCTGAAAATTTGTAAACATTGTAAACAAGTATAAATGGCAGTTGAAACTCAAGCTTAAGCCAATATTTATTGAACTACGCCGAAGATTAAATACCCTTGCAGAAAGAAGTAGAAGTGACGACTTCTAAATTTATCTATAAGTAGAAAAAGTCAATCTATTGAACCGATGAAATCTGCATGATATAGTAGATCGATGTTGTTGATTTCTTGTTTAAATGTTAGGTATAATAATGTGCTTGATTTTAGTTTTTAATCAGTTTGATTTTGGATTATTTCTATTGCAACTTTATTATAATAATTTGTCCAAATGTGATGAGCACAATGACAAGCATATTAAATTAGTTTGTTTGGGATACCAGAACTTATCATTCGGCGGACCGTACTCCGACATATTCTCTGTCTGCAGTACAAATTTGCATGCATGCCAAGTTTCATCACCAATGCAACGAAATAGAAAGTCAGACTATATCCGACTAGATAATGATGCTGATCAAGAATATAAATCAAATCAAAAACCATCTAAAAGTGTATAAAATTGCAACCAAATCTAATTTGAAATCAAATGTAGCTCCTCATATTGCTTCCTCCTGAAAAAGCTTTTTTCACTTTTTTATTACATATTTTAATGGACTTTGTAATAGGTGTGTGAAATTGTGTACAAATATTTCGTATGCCATTTACTTGCAACAATAATGTACAGCGTATACTTAGCATACTTAAATTCCCTTTTTCTCTCTTGGCTTTATTTAGCATCCAGCTGTGCCATAAATCTCAATAAATGCCAGCAGAGCATATTGTTTGGCCTCCCCACGCGTCACATCACAAAAAAAGAAACAAAATCGAGTACAGAAAAGATTTATTTTTAAAAAAAAATACGCTCAATCAGCAAACTTGACATTTAAAAGTTATTAGACTGAGTAAATTAAGACGAAAACTAAATTAAAATTTACTTAATTTTCTATACAACCTTCCTTTAACATAAATTGCGTATACGTTTAAATGAAAGCTCTGATTAAAAAGGATGCAACAGAAAAACGTGCAAAGTAAAAGATTTATTAAAGGTGATTTGGAGGTTGCATGCAACAGTATAACTGTGCCCCAGTGTCGATTGGCATTGGCAGTAATTTCCTGGCCAGGTGTGCGATCAAAAGCAGAATGCAATTTCCGATTAAATGCGATTGTACTTTTTTTTTACCTTATGCATGTGTCCAGGTTTAACTGAAGAGAACTGTAGGGGTAAGTGTGTGTATGTTTATAGTAAGCCTGATAAAGTAAGAGCACAGCAAAGCTAGGGATACTGTCCAACTGACCGCAGCTTGTCAGAAAGGACTACCACAGCAAGGTGTAAAGAATTTTACATGACACTTTATTTGCGGCCAGGATATTATGGGATTTAAGTTTGGTTTAGTTATACCTCCAACTTGGCCTTAGCAATCTTTATTTATTTATTTATTGAGATAAGCTCTTAGTTTGGGGCTCAACAAATTTATAAAGTAGACAACTGTTGGCAATCTTCAGAGATTTTTAAATATTTCAAAGATTAAAATTTAATATACTTTCTATATAGATAACTAAATATAATTGAAAAAATTATATGGTAAGCAAAAGCACGTTCCAAAAATATATCTGAAAATGCTTCTGTTCAAAATATTCAACAAGTATTTTTTATTAATTTATTAGTTAGATAAAAATTCGTACAAAAAAGAAACACACAAAATGCAAAATTTTGTAAAAAAAAAACAAAAAATAAGAAAAAAAAACCTTTACTTTAATTCAGTCTGATTGCTTTGTCTTGTTACAATAGAAGCACGGATGTCAAAATAAAATAATAATACTAAGAGTGTAAAAATAAAATTAAAAAACCGAGGAAAGGTCAACATTTGATATCTAATTAACATCACTTTCCGATTTCAATTGCAACACACGATGAGTTTGGTTATTTCTGAACAATAAAAATCACATCTAAGGATATATGTCCATAAACATATGCACATTTGTCACACAAGTTTAATTCACACAGTTTGTTGCGTTTAGTTTGCGTTCATATCAAAAGCAGGCTCAAAAAAAGGATTCGCAGTGCATGTGACGACGCCAGTGTGACCAGTCCGCTGAACAACCCACGGATTGAATGAAGGCCCTGCCGGCAGCACAATTGAGTAAAATGGGATTGGCATCGGCACCCGGACACATATAGAATTGATTGGGATCGATGCTGGCCCAGGGATGCTCCACCTCCCGGCTGCAGCTGCGGGTCAGCTGTGTGGCATTGGGCCGACAAGCGGGCCATTGGTCGTAGGGTAGGCAGCCGAGATGGCCAAGACCATTGAAAAATCCACGACCCTGTGGGCAATGCAATTGCAATGGGCGTTGATCCAGCGTGTTGCACACGTAGAATATGTTGGGATTGGGATCGCCCCACATGTTCGTGGCATGTTTGCATGTTGCATTCGTGGCCGCAACGGATGCGTGTGCTACAACCTGCAGCAGCAGCAGGAACAACAGCACCAGCTGCATCATCATGAGTCTCAAATCCAGCTTTATACCGACTCTCCTTCGCATTGGCATCATTGCATGCCACACATTTCTCATAAATAATTTCATCAGCACAAATTTTACGGACACAGCGCGAATTCCCCTTATTCCTGTGCCTCTTTATGACTTTCTCTCTTTTTTTTATTATTTTCACCACTCTATATATACATATATATATATATATATATATATATATATATATATTTATGAGTTTGCTACGTTTTTACTGTGGCACCACAAAAGCGTTGACTGAATGATATGGCGCCATTGTCATTCATTTTTATACTCATTGCACTCTTTTTGTTTTTATCGAAATGTTTTATTTATCATTCCCTCCTCCATTGGATATTCCCATTGTCACAATTCTAAAGAGTTTTTGGTGACGTTTTTGTGTACTTGTTTTGGGACAAAGTTGTCTGATTAGATTGTCTAACCAGAGTTTAAAGGTTGCTCTTTTATCTACTTCAAGTACTCACTCATTTAAAATTTTTTACACGACTAATACGAATACTATACAAAGATATATATTTTTTTAAATTGTTTATTGTTTGTTGACCTCTTTTTTTAATTTAAGTATGTTTTCGTTGGCAGCAGGTATAATATTTTTTTTGGTGTTTTTCTCCAATATTCACATTGCGATTTGTCATCAGGGAGAAACAATTTCAATTTCCACAGAAATTTTCTCGAAATTTATAGACAAATACTTTTAACTTTTATTTATTAAATATTATATGTATGACCAATAAATTAGAATTCAAGAAAACTAGACAGAATTTCACACTCGATCTGACGACAATATTTTTAAAGTAAGACAGGCAATCGGACACAAGATGAATATTTTACAATCCCAGTATAACGACGATGATCTTTAAAATAACATTAAACTTAAGATAACACTTAGCAGTATGTGAAAAATATACTTGATATCTTTCACTTTAATAAATAAATAAATAATAACTTAACACCTTATATTAGTGAGGCGTTTTTAAACAATCTTTACAAGACTACACTAATTATTGATTATTCTGATACTCCATGAAATAAGTTTAAGTATAGCAATACTTGGCTATGGTCTCTACTTATCAATTTCTTTTATAAATATCTAATGGATTATTGTCATTATTATTAATTTTTAGCATTTCTAATTTATATATATATTTTCTGCGACATTGAATAATATTTATGCCCGGCATTTAAAATCATACGCTTCCACACAGAATTTCACAGAATTTCAATCAATGTCAGTAAACGATTAATTGTATAATTTGTGAGTCACATTTACTTAAATTCGAATCAGTGACTATAAAAAGAGTCGCAAACCAACAAAAATAAAAGATGAGGAAAGAACAAAAAAAAACGGTGACAAGTGTGTTATCAATGCGATAGACAGATAGATAGATAGCATAACATTTATTGCCTTTCCAATGAGGCTAAATTGGAAATTATTGCTGCAGGGCAATCAGACAAAATTTAATTACAAACTGGAAGCAAAATGACAAGCACTCTTTCTCCCTCTCTCTCTCTCTCTCTCTCTTTCTTTCTCTCTGGCAGTGGCTTAGAAGCTGTGCAGGTGCAGCTGCTGCCAAAAGTTCTAATTGATTTCGCTTACAGCTAAGCTTTCCAGCTAGACAGAGAGCAATCGAAACGCAGCTGCAGACTTGCTCTGTAGGCCATATAAGCTGGCAAAAAGTTGAACAGCCTCAGCTCTGAGCTTCTTCTTTGTTGTTCAGTCACGTTGTCAATGGGAACTTCTTAGCAGATGCCGCCATTTTTCAAGGAGTCTATTTTACCAAGTTTAAATTGGAAAAAGTTCGAGCAGCAAAACTTGACAACATAATCGACATAAATTCCAATAGGCATGTGTCCGCATATTCTATTAAAACTTTCCTTACACACACACACACTCACACACACACACACAGCTGATGTTTTTACTTTTCTCAAATTAAATGAATTTCCAGGTAAATGCGCATTATAAGCTAAGTTTTAATACTATTATGATGAAGAGTATTGGTTTCGTAATTCCATCTATCCGTAATTCCAGCTAGAAGTCTGAGGACTGAAAAGTTGATGTATAAATTCTAGATTCCGATAGTGATAAAAATCGATAACATCGTGCAAGTGCAAATCTATAAAACCACCTTGAAATGATTTATGAATGAGTACAGGGTAACTGCGAACCGGGTGAGGCCTTACGTGTTTTTCTCAGGAATTTGCCAAGGCACTTAAGCTGATAAGTGACCAAAAAAACAGATATAAAAATATATATTTATTAAGAAATCATAAGGAAATTAGGCGCAAAAGAGACACTTATCTGCCTATAGTTGTGCGTCCGATAAGCGACAAAAAACGAAGAAGAACCATTCTTGATGGTATTGTCAAAACAACTAATTGAGAATGCGATATCAAGTAGGGTCCAGATAAGTCGTATTATAAATTGTGTGGTATTGCCTAGAAATCAATTTAGTCGATTTTAAAGTGTGCAAAACGAAAGAAGTGAAAAAAACGTGAAGTTCAATATGCCCAAAGGTGAACTTCAAGCTTAAGCTTAAAGTGGTCAAATGTTGTTTAGAACAGTTTAAGAAATTCCAACTGGATATATGAATACCAAAAAAAACTTTTTCGAAATGGAAAAAAATATTACAAAAAAAAAAAAACCTCAAAGCTAAATAAGTTTGTTGCGAATGGGAAGTACAGTTGTCACTCAATAACTAGAACACTTTTGACTCAATGAACTGTTAATTTTCACTCGCGAATAATGTTCTGCATGTTCTATTTCAAAATAATCACAACTGATTATACAATGACACATGAAAAATCAATTTTAACAAGGAATATCAAATCGTATATTACTTGTTAATTTTCATTTGAAAAACTTCTTATTTTCAACTATGTGCACTATATGTAATGTATTGTTTATTAAGCACATTGTGAGCTCCGATATCATTATGAGTCGCACATATAAAAGAGCTGTTTGAATGCATAGACAAAGACAACAGCAATGATAATCAGAAACAATTTTGTAGAATAATTTTCTATTATTAAGACAAACATACCTAAGACGTAGAAATACAAACGCAAATTTAAAAAAAATAGTAATCGTTCCAATGGGAACATTTGTGCATTTTTTGTGAAGAAAACTTTAAGAAAAGAAAGAAAATAAAGTGTTTTACAAAACTATTTACAGCTATTCTGATATTCCTGGGCCTACTGGCGCTCAGCATGCCAGTCACAATCTATGCAGCTGATGAGCAAACTACAGATGAAACAGTTGTTCCGACTACTCCCAATGATGTCCCTGGAAATACCCATGCTCCCGAAACTGAGCCTACAATTGTAACTGATGAACCCACTGAAACGACCACTGAGCGTGATGAGTCAACTACTGTAGATGATATACCCACTGTGACTCCAACTGATTTGCCTGTTACTCCAACTGGTGCTACCGTAAATCCAACTACTCCAGCAACTGGTACCACTGTCCCTGCGAAGTGCTTGTATCAATCGATGACCTGGGCCGCTGAGGATCTGCGTAAATACTACTGGTGTCTGAACGATAAGCCCCGTCTCTCCACGTGCAAAGAGGATTACTATTATGTGAATAATGCAACAGTTTCTGGCTGCATTCCCGCCGCCAAAATGAATCCAGCCTGTGTCAACTTGGACATCGCAGTGGGTCCGTGCGAGGGCATCAATCTAAAGCAGCCGCAAGCCAGTTACATACTAACTAATTTCTGGCTCTGCACGGAAGCCGGTGCAGAACCGGTGGAGTTGACCTGTGTGGAGGACAAGGCGTTTATCAAGCAGGATGGCTATTTGGGCTGCTTCGATTGGGCGACGTGGAGATCTTTGCGTTCATGCAATTAACACCTATCTGCATCTGGCAGCATTTTAATTATGTTCCACATTTTTGTTGAATGTGACTTTATCATGATTAAAAATATATATATTAATGAATTCAATGGAAATTCATTTAAAATTGATTACAAAGTAATTAATCCACACATATCTTATCTATATTCCACATATTTTTGATAACACAGCCAAAAATCAATGGTATACCAAATCCAGAAGAACATTTTTACAATTGCTTGAAAATGAAAAGTTTTTGCTAAGAAATTGCACAGCTGCCAACTCAAGCGTAAATATGCTTGGAACGCGTATGTGTGTGTGTGTGTGTGTGTGTGCGTGAGCTATATAATAGAAAAATATATATATGATAGAAAACTAGAGAGTGCACAGATAAATATATATGGCAGGTCGAAGTTGACACACCCTTGCGGAACACAATTCCATTCGCTTCAAATCAAGAAAATGTTGTTGATTCAAGTAAGACACGCATCACAAGCAGGATATCAAAACAAATCAAATATTGCTTCCGGTTCCGGTTCTAGTTCTGAATTTCAATGGGTTATTTGCCGTTAACGGTTCCGGGTTCAATTCGATTTCCTGTCGGGCTCTGAGTTTCTATCGTTTCCGATTACGGCTTGATTTTTTGTTCCGGAGAAATCTTTAATCAAGAAAATATATTTTGAATTTAAGTTGGCATGTGCTAGAATGATCTTAAATTAATCTTAAATTAAATTTGCTTTCTTCTTGCTTCACATTTCCACATTCATTTTCAAGTTTTCCGATCTCAATTTGAGTATTGAAATCTACATTGATGAATCTTAATTCGAAAATTAAAAATGTCTGCTTAAGATTCGCAATTTTGTTTCAAGAATGATGTTGACTTGAATCAAGAGCATTTTAGTTCGTGTTACTTAAAGCAAGACAAAACGATACAACCCTCTGCAGGAGTATAAAACGGAAGAAAACAATTGTCACCACACATTTTGTGCACAAGAAAGCAACACGAAATGGCAAATTGCTGAACACGATGAGAATAAAGGAAAGCGTCTAACCTGACTCGGTCAGCATTCAGAAAGAAGTACAAATATATATATTTATAAATATAAATAGAAAATAAAATAAAATGGGTCTTGTGTCAACTGCCAGTGAGTTCAAAATCAGTTTAAAGTACGTCGCCAGTTTCGTTTTCCATTTGTAAAAAATAAACGTGATAATGCGTCTGTTGGTTGTTTGACTTATTTCTATATTTTATTTAATGGAAGGAAATTGGCTGTCAAGCCGAAACGAATTTAAATTCAGATTCCGATTCGGGTACCTAATGTATATAAATTCTGGTAAGCGTTCCGGTATTTTTGCAAACTGTTTTCCGGTAATCGATCACTTAATGGTACCTTTAACTTTAATAATAATGATACAACACAAAAGCCTTTAAAAAATAAGTGAGAACTTTTCAGTCGTGCGTAACTTACTGCAAAATACTCTGATACCAGGAATGGTTAGGAATGTAAAACGAAACACAGCTGACAAGGCACATGAAATCTTTCAGCCAGATTAATTCTAAAGAATAAATGTCATTAAGCTTATGCTGTTTTTAATAGTTTAATATGAAATGGAATTTAATCGAACGGCATCAATGCAATCATGCTTCCTTTCTTACTATTTTGCTGTTTCTGCTTAAAGTTTCAAAAGCAAAATTAATTTATGAACATGACTTTATCAGAATTAAAAAAAAAAAAGGAATCCGCGCTTTAACTATTCTGCTCGCAGCAAATGCTTTTAACGAGGCATTTAAAGCTTTAATGTGCTTAAAAGCTCTTTTCAGATTTTGCAACCGTTTTCAACCATTGTCGCTTAATTTAGCTTAATTTTAAAAATGCATTTAGCTTTGTCACACACTATAATGACTTTATGAGCTAATATTGTGTCATTAACTTTATCATCACTTTCGCTCTGCTTGCTATCATTAAACTAAATATTCAACAAGGGAAGTGTTTTGTTTCCCACACATGATATTTGTTCCGCAGTATGTGTGCTTCTACTTACCACTGTTCGCTCCGAGGCACTCAGGGATAGTTACGCATTTAGTCACGCAGTGCCGGACACAAGGATAATTCAACCGAGCGCTAAATGCTGTCTGCATGCGACTCTATTGCCTAGGTAATAAATGTCTGAGTGCGATTCAGTTCAAAGCACATACACTCACTCACACACACGCACACGCACACGCATACACACGCACACATACGCAGAATACACATGGAGGTGGAGTGTCAGTGACACGAAACTGCTGCAAACGAGCAGCAACAATGAATGCGGCACAGAAACCCCCAAATGAGTTAGTCAGGAAATTGCATTATTTGTCTTTGGCTCTTGTTGCGGACACAAATGCTTCGCTATGCAAGACAGCCCTTAGCCTAATCTACCATTCTACACTCTGAGAAAAATGTTCTACTAAATTTAAGTTCAAGCGGACGTATTCCAAAATCAAATTTCTTATTTTTAGTTAGCAGTACTGATTTGAGTGGTTAAAATAAAGATAATTAAGATTTTCTAGATCAATTTGAAGAATACCGAAATGAATTTAGAAATCCTGGACATGTTTGAAGAATAAAAATCCCAAATTTTTTGCCGAGTGTAGTTTTTCACTAACCATCCCTCTTATACCCTAAACTCATAAAAAATGCTTAAAAAGGGGTATAATAGTGTGTGCAAAAGTATGTAACAAGCAGAAGTAAGCATATAAATATTCTTGATAAGGATCAGGATTAAGTCGATCTATATGAACAAGCTGATCTCAGAAACTATAGGAACTAGAGGCTTATGGAATACATGTTCCCATTTACCATAGGTATATCATTTTATTGATAACTGCACCAGTCTAGCGAATATTGATGAAAATCGATTTCCGATTACAACATAGGGCACAATTCTCAATTTTCATATTGATCAAACCAATGTCCTGCAAGGTATCTGCAAGTGGAGCTCTCCCGACTAGAGAATTCTAACTTGTTGTAGCCACTTTCAAATGGCGTTTGGCTATCTCCATTGCGACACTGTTCTGTCACACATGCGAATTTCCACAAAATGCTCCTCCAAGTCACTGCAATTTTTCTGCTCCATTTCTGTCCACTGGTCTGCCTCTTACTGTTGCTGCTGCTGCTGTTGCTGCTATTGCCTTTTGCTGCCTGGTCTTGCCTCTTGCTGTTGCATTTTAATTGCTTGGCTTGGTGTGCCGCTTGGGCCATTAATCCTGCACAACTTGTGCACTGAAATTACGAAAAAAGGATTTTTAAAGTCACAATTGTCGTATGTTATCAACACACACAACACGTACACACAGCCCACACACACACACTGACACTGACAAGCAAATGTCTACGAGTAGAGATGGAAGCGTGTCGATTATATTTTTGCAAAAAAAAACAAAAACAAATTCAAAACAAGTTAGAATGGGTCAGTCGAAATAGCTCGTGAGCCAGAACCCAGCTGTTATATATCTTAGAATTCAGGATACATTATATATTAAATTGAAGCATGTATTTAACAATTAATCTCAAAAATCTGTAACAAAATCAAGCTCAAAATCAGTTATCGAGAAATTAAACTAAAATTCTTTATATGAAGTCTTTATATTATACAGACAGACAGATGAAAATGTCTAAATCTACTCAGCTTTAATACTGTTCTAGAATATATATACTTTAAATACCTGAGAATGCTTCCTTTTGCCTGTCATTTCGCACATATTCAGGATGTTCAGGATATAAATGTTTATTTACATGATTGTAAAATCGACTTTGAGACAATTAATAGTTCATTTTATCATCATTCATCTTTTTTCAGTTAATAAAAATAATTTAATATTTGAAAATTACAGTTTTTGAAAATTATGTACAATTATTTATATGTTTAATGTGTTCAGAATATATATTAATATTTATACCTATAATTATTAGCCCGATTTTTAGAGCGTATGTCATATATTTTTTGTCGTACAACTTTAAATAAAATTGTTTTTAAAATTGTTAAATATTATTTGGATATTTTAATTTGTTGTGTTCTTTTTGTTTGTGTTTTTCTTCCAAATATTTAACTGCAATTCAACATCACTTTTATACAACTTATTGTTGTTGGCTGTTAGCCACGTGACACGAACACGATGTCAACTCAAGTTCAGAGAGTTCAGAGACATGCCCATATGCAGCAGCTAGCGTTTTGTGTCGCCACGTCCAGAACTTGGCCTGTAGTTAAGGGCCAACATGAAGCTGTCGCAACGGTGCTCAGATTTAATTGAGTTTGCAATTGTTTTGTGGCCGGCTTGGGTCAGGTTGAGTCGAGAGAGCGCTCGAGAGTTTTGCAAGTTATGCCTTTGAATGGGCGACTCTCTGGAACTTTGGAAGTCCACTGACGGACTCTGGTCACTTTCATAATTTTCGTGCACCTTTAATCACAAGTAACCATAAGCTTGGGGCGTATACGCAATGCGCACAAAAGTATGCAACGATATTTTGCAGTACTTTATGTATTTTTTCTCTTGTCCCTTGGAGTTATTTTTACTCCCGGCACTTCCTGTCGAATGGTCATAATTGGCATTTTTTGCGACAGTCAAGTTAAGCGCCACAGAAACCACCACTTGCCACCCCCAACCGATCCCCGTCCAACCCACCGGAAGTTTCGTTCATTGGGTGCCTGCTCTTTGGGTGATTTTTCAGCTTGCGCATTCTTGGGCACTGGCTGACTTGCTGTTGGCTTGCTTGGCTGTTAAGTTGGCTTAAACTTTTCCACTTGAATGGCTACGGAAGGTTTTATGTGGCCCCTTGTTGCTGCCACATTGTGTTCTTGCAGCGGCGCATGAAAGTATACAGCATAAAAATTGATGTGCCCTGCACCAAATAAATATTTGACAGACACTGAAATTTAAATTGTGAGTAATTGCAAGTTGTATATTTTTGCATTTCATTTTAAGTGCAATTTTAGTTGTTAGAAATTTACAACTATATGTGAAACTTAACTAACCAAACTAACGTAAGACAAGTATTATTTGGCTTACATATACTAGTTGTTGTAATACGTTTTTTCTCTGAGTGCAGTCAGGCCCTGTGTGGCCCTTTACAGGCGCCTTGCATTTCTATTTTATGGCGC